TTGCTTTTTTATCTTATATGCAGAGTACATCATGCAAAATTCGGGGCTGGATGAAGCACAAGCTGGAATCAAGATTGCCAAGAGAAATATTAATGACCTCAGATACGCAGATGACACCACCCTTATGGCAGAAAGTAAAGAACTAAAGAGTTTCTTGATGAAAGTGAAAGAGAAGAGTCAAAAAGTTGGCTTAAAGCTCAATATTCAAAAAACTAAGATCATGGCCCTGGTCCCGTCACTTCATTGCAAATAGATGGGGAAACAATGAAAACAGTGAGAAACTTTATTTTTGGGGGCCCCAAAATCACTGCAGATGGTGACTGCAGCCAAGAACATGAATTTGAGCAAGCTCCAGAAGTTGGTAATGGACAGGGAAGCCTAGCATGCTGCAGTCCATGGGGTCACAAAGAGTAAGACATCACTGAGCAACTGAACTTAACTGAACATGACTATTGGAAAAACCATAGCTCTGACTATACAGATCTTTATCAACAAAATAATATTTCTGCTTTTTAATACGCTATCTAGGTTTGTCACTTCTTTCCTTCCAAGGAGCAAGTACCCTTAATTTCATGGCTGAAGTCACTGTCAGCAGTGATTCTGGAGCCAAAGAAAAGAAAATCTGTCTTGGCTTTCATTTCCCCCCCTTCTGTTTGCCATAAAGTGTTGGGACCAAATGCCATGACCTTAGTTTATTGAATACTGAATTTCAAGGCAGGTTTTTCACTCTCCTCTTTACCTTCATCAAGAGGCTCTTTAATTCCCCTTTGCTTTCTGCCATTAGAGTGGTATCATCTGCAAATCTGAGGTTGTTGATATCTTTTCTGGCAATCTTGATTCTAGCTTGTGAGTCATCCAGCCTAGCATTTTGCATGATGTAGTCTGCATATAAGTTAAACAAGCAGGGTGACAATATATTGCCTTGATGTACTCCTTCTCAATTTTTAACCAATCAGTTGTTCCAAGTCTGGTTCTAACTGTTGATTCTTGACCCACATACAGATTTCTCAGTCGACAGGTCAGGTGGTCTGGTATTCCCATCTCTTGAAGAATTTTACAGAGTTTGTTGTGATCCACAGAGTCAAAAGCTTTCACATATTCAATGAAACAGAAGTAAATGATTTTCTGGAATTTCTATGCTTTCCCTATGATCCAATGGATGTTGGCAATTTGATCTCTGGTTCCTCTGCCTCTTTGAAACCCAGCCTATACATTTGGAAGTTCCTGGCTTATGTATTGTGGAAGCCTACCTTGAAGGATTTTGAACATTACCTTGCTAGCATGTGAAATGAGAGCAGTTGTATGGTAGTTTGAACATTCTTTGGCATTGTCCTTCTTTAGGATTTGAATGAAAACTGATCTTTTCCAGTTCTATGGCCACTGGTGAGTTTTCCAATTAGCTGTTAAGGTGCTCAGTGCCTTAACAGCATCATCGTTTAGGATTTGAAAGAGCTCAGCTGTAATTCCATCACCTCCACCAGCTTTGTTAATAGTAATGCTTCCTAAGACACAGCTTACTTCAAACTCTAGGATGTCTGGCTCTAGATGAGTGACCACTTCACTGTGATTATCTGGGTCATTAAGACCATTTTCCCTAGTTCTTCTGTGTATTCTTGCCACCTCTTCTTAATCTCTTCTGCTTCTTTTAGGTCCTTACCATTTCTTTCCTTTATCATGCTCATTCTTGCATGGAATGTTCCCTTGATATCTCCAGTTTTCCTGAAGAGATAGATCTCTAGTCTTTCCCATTCTATTGTTTTCCTCTATTTCTTTGCATTATTTATTTAAGAAGGCCTTCTTATCTCTCTGTGCTATTCTCTAGAACTTGCATTCCGTTAGGTAAAGCTTTCTCTTTCTCCCTTGCCTTTCATTTCTCTTCTTTTCTCAGGTATTTGTGAAGCCTCCTTGGAGAATCACTTTGCCTTCTTGCATATCTTTTTCCTTAGGTTGGTTTTGGTCACTGCCTCCTGTACAATGTTACTAACCCTCATCCATAAACTTCAGGCACTCTGTCTACCAGATCTAATCCCATAAATTTATTCATCACTTCCACTATATAATCAGAAGGGATTTGATTTAGGTCATACACAAACGGCTTCCCTGGTGACTCAGATGGTAGTGAATCTGCCTGCAATGCAGGATACTGGGTTCAATCTCTGGGTCAGGAAGATGCCCTAAAGAAGAGAACAGCAACTCACTCCAGTATTCTTGCCTGGAGAATCCCAAGGACACATGAGTATGGCAGGCTAGAGTCCCTTGGACCACAAAGAGTTGGACACAACTCAGCGATTCACACTTTGAATGGCCTAGTGCTTTTCCCCACATCTTAAATTTAAGCCTGAATTTTCCAATAAGGAGCTCATGATCTGAGCCACAGTTAGCTCCATGTCTTGTTTTTGCTGACTGTATAGAGCTTCTCCATCTTAAGTTTCAAAGAACATCATCAATCTGATTTTGGTATTGACCATCTGGTGATTTCCACGTATAAAGTTGTCTCTTCGGTTTTGGCAAAAGGTGTTTGCTACAACCAGCATGTTCTCTTAACAAAACTCTGTTAGCCTTTCCCCTGATTCATTTTTAACTCTAAGACCATATTTGCGTGTTATTCTGAGTAGCTCTTGACTTCCTACTTTTGCAGTGCAATCCCCCTATGATGAAAAGGATACCTTTTTTTGATGTTAGTTTTAGAAGGTGTTGTAAGCCTTCATAGAACCAGTCCACTTCAGCTTCTTTGGCATCAGTGGTTGGGACATAGACTTGGATTACTGTGATGTTGAATGGTTTGCTTTGGAAATGAACCAAGATCATTCTATCGTTTTTGAGATCGTACCCAAGTACTGCATTTTGTTGACTATGAGGGTTACTCCATTTCTTCTATGGGATTCCTGCCCACAGTAGTAGATATAATGGTCACACCCATTCCTGTCCATTTTAGTTCAGTGATTTCGAAGATGCCAGTGTTCAAACTCACCATCTTCTGCTTGACCATGTCAAATTTCCCTTGATTCATGAACCTAACATCCATGTTCCAATGAAATACTGTTGTGCATCGAACTTTTACTTTCCCCACCAAGCACATCCACAACTGAGCATCTTTTCCAATTTGGCACAGTCGCTTCATTCATTCTGGAGCTACTAGTAATTGCCCTCTGCTCTTCCCCAGTAGCATAATGGACACCTTCCAACCTTGGGGGGCTCAATTTCCAGTGCCATCTTCTATTTATTTTTTCCCTTTTCATAGTGTTCATGGGATTCTCAGGGCAAGACTACTGGCACTGTTTGCCATTTCTTCCACCAGTGGATCACATTTTGTCAGAACTCTTCACTATGACCCGCCCATCTTGGATAGCCCTGCACAGTATGTCTCATAATTTCATTGAGTTACACAAGCCCCTTTGCCAAAAATGACTGTGATCCATAAGAGGGAAGAAAGCACAGTCTTTTCCCATGATGATGCTAAAACAATGAGATATCTATATGCAAAAAGAGGACAAGATCTATGGTTGAGTTCCTTCAGCTGTTCACCTGAAACTATCACAACATTATTAATCAGCTATACCCAAATTCCAAATTAAAAGTTTTAAAAAATGCCTGAAATAAAAAGGATTCTATTTTCAAAACTCAAATACAGTTCTACATTTCTTAAACAGGACACCATAAACTATCATTCAGAAAAGGAAAAAAGCATTATAAATTAGACATCATCAAAACTAAGAACTTCTGCTTTTTGAAAGACACTGTTAAAGAGAATGAAAGGATAAACAATAGACCAGAAGAAAATATTTTCAAACATACATGATAAAGGACCCAGCATTTAAAATATATCAAGACTTTCAAAATTTAGTAAGAAAAAATACCCAGTAAAAAATGGGCCAAAGATTTAGACAGACATTTTATTAAAAAATATACATACATGTCAAATAAGCACATGAAGAGATGTTCAATATCATTAATCATTAAGGCTATAAAAATTCAAAACCACAATAAGGTATCATCATACACTTATCAGATACACAAAATTAAAACAAGACTGACTAAACCAAGTGTTGGTAAGATTGTGGAACAACTGAAACTCTCATATACTGCTGGTGAGAATGCAAAAATTATACAACTTCTTTGGAAAATAGCTTGACAGTATCTTTAAAATAAGTTAAAATATACACCTACTATATAACCCAGTCATTATATTCTCAGATATTTAACCATGAAAAACAAAAACATATGTCCATACATGAACATTTCTAGTAGCTTTATTAGTATTATCCAAAAATAGCAAAAAATGTATATCCATCAACAAGTGATGAATAGACAAATCATTGTGTATCTATGCAGTGGAATACCACTCAGCAATAAAAATGAACTACTGATGCATGCCACAACTTGAATGAATCTCAAAATAATTATGCTAAGCTAAATAAGCCAGACAAAAAAACAATACATACCATAAGATTTCATTTATATAAAGTCCTAGAACATGCAAACCGAATAGTAACAGAAAGCAGATTCAGTAGTGGTGGGGCAGGAGGGAATCATTACAAAAGAACACAAGAAAACTGTTGGGGGCAATGGATAAACTAATTATTTTGATTGTATTGATGGTTTATTAAGTTTACACAAATGTCTTATCAAAGCATGTACTTTAGTAAGTACAGTTTGTTGCATGTCAACTGTACCTCGCTAAAGCTGTTTTAAACATGAATAAATTAAAGCTTACTCCCAAAGGCATTTTGGTAGCTTGAGTAGCCAAAGTCCTAGGCTTGTCCCTATCTACTACATCCAGTTATTTATACTGATCTTTTTCCTAAGAGAAAAATGAGCAACACATTGAAACTATTTAAATGACAGTCAGAAAATGCCATTAACTGGCACATTCATGAAATATTATGTAACCAAAAAAAGAATATTTAAAATTTCCATAGCAAAAAGTAATTAGCAAAACAACAAAAACAATGTCTTAGTTTTGTTTCAATAAAATATAGCAAAAATTTACAAATACTCACCTCTTTGGATAATCTTGTGAAGACATCTCCTCCCCTGAGAAAATCCAATATTAAATACAGCTTCCCTTCAGTCTGAAAGGCTAATAGAAATTAAAATGCAGACATAACAATTTTTAAGGCTTACAAAGCTTAGTATACTTTTTACTTAATATAGCTGTTTAGAATTTTATCACTGAACACTATAATGAAATTAACCATTTACTTACATGGTCCATTATTAGATAACATTATTTCAAAATTAAAACTAGTGTTGAAAAGCTATAATCCCCTTTCCAGAATATATCAGATGTTCTACATGTAGCTCTGCACAGAAACTTGTAACATCATCATTTTCCTCACTTATGAAGCACCATAATCTACTGCAATTGCCTGAAAACTACCTCCCCATCTATTGAAAATCTACTAATTCAGTCAAGCTCAACAAAAATGTCACCCCCTCTTTCTTCTATTAAGAGACTTTCTTCTATTAAGGACTTCCTCCTTTCCATATTTCCCCACAGAGTCCTTACACTCTTTCCCATCAGAATTACTGGCTACTACCTTTGAGATCTCATTGTACTTTATTTATATCTTATGGTACCTTAATCCATTTTGATTTATAAAATTAATTGGTCTTATATGTCTGTGTTCCATATACATTATAAATTTCTTAAGATCAGAGATTATATCCCCTCTAGAGCCTACTGATTTTAACAGAATATTTTGCATAAAACTGGTGTTTAGTGATTAATCTAATGATATCCCAGAGATTCAAGGAAGGAGATCTTTAGATATTACTACTACTTTCATTCCATTTGGGTAATGGGGAATGAAAGAATAATGGGTGAAAAATTCTAGATTTTTTTTTTTTATAGAGAGTTGAGTACTACAATGCATATTTGTCAAAATTACCTAAAAATAAAATCAGTGGCTGCTATTCTTCTAAATTTCAAAAACTGAGAACAACATAGTAGACTGGATCAGTAATTTTGCCTTTGAATTCCCCAGGGAAGTTAAATGCCATAATCTCATGCATACAATAAATTGGCATTGGAGCCATTATTAAAATTCAGTACTGCATGGGTTGGAAGAATAATAGTTAAAATGACCATACTGCCCAAAGCAATCTAAAGATTCAATGCAATCCCTACTGAAATACCAATGGCATTTTTCACAGAACCAGAACAAGTAATTTTAAAATTTGTATGGAAATACCGAAGAAGCTGAATAGCCAAAACAATCATGAAAAAGAAGAACAAAGCTAGAGGCATCACACTTCCTAACTTCAGATCATGCTAAAAACTACAGAAATCAAAACAGTATGCACTGACATAAATAGAGACATATAAATCAATGGAACAGAATAGAGAGCCCAGAAATAAACCCACACACCTATGATCGATTAATCTGCAACAAAGGTGACAAAAATATACAAAACAGAAAAAAGGAATCTCTTCCGTAAATGGTGCTGGGAAAACCGGACTGTTGCATGTAAAAGAATGAATTTTTCTAACATCATATATAAAAATAAACTCAAAGTGGATTAAAGACCTAAATGTAAGACCATAAACCACAAAACTTCTAGAAGAGAACATAGGTAGAACACTGTTTGACATAAATCAAAGCAATGTTTTTTGGGATTTCTCTCCTAAGGCAAAGGAAACAGAAGCAAAAATAAACAGGTCAGACCTAATTAAAATGAAAAGCTCTAGCACAGCAAAGGAAACCATCAACAAAATGAAAAGACAACCTACTAAATTGGAAAAAATATTTTCAAATGATATGACTAATAAGGAGCTAATATTCAAAATATATAAACAGCCTATATATCTCATCATCAAAAAAACAAACAACCCAATTTAAAAAATGGGCAGAAGACCTGAATAGACATTTTTCCAAAGACATACAGATGGCCAACTAGCACATGAAAAGATGTTCAATATCACTAATCATCACTGTATCAAAACTCCAATGAGATACCATCTCATCAAAAATGATTTTTGATAAATCTATCAAAAATGTATATCATGAAAAAGACTACAAATAACAAATGTTGGAAAGGATGTGGACAAAGTGAAACCCTTGTACACTGTCAGAAGTTATGTAAATTGGTGCAAGCACTGTGGAAAACAGTATGAAGGTTCTTCAAAAGAATAAAAATGTAACTCAGCAATTCCACACTTGGGTATATATCTGAAGAAAATGAAAATATTGCCACAAAAAAATGTATGCACCACAATGTTCACAGCAGAATTTTTTATAGTACACAAGATATGGAAGCAACCTAAGTATCCATCAACAGGTAAATGTATTAAATAAAGATGTGGAAAATATATATGTATATACATACACACACACATACATACATCTACACACACATACACAATGGAGTATTACTCACCCATAAAAAATAATGAAATATTGTCATTTACAAGAACATGGATGGGTTTAGAGGGTATTTTGATTAGTGAAATATGTCTTACAAAGACAAATATTGGATGATATCACTTACATTTGGAATCAAAAAATAGATTAGTGAATTTAACAAAAAAGGAACAAACTTCTGGAGAACTAGTGGTTACCAATGGGGAAAGGTAGGGGAAAGTGGCAAGATAGGGGTATGGGATTAAGAGGTACAAACTACTATGTATAAAATAAATACTACAAGGATATATAGAATAACACAGGGAATGTAACAAATATTTTATAATAAGTATAAATGGAATATAACCTCAAAAATTGTGAATCACTATACTGTACACCTGAAACATATAATACTGTAAATCAACTATACCTCAACTTAAAAAAAAAAAAAAACCTCAGAAATCTTTGACTCCAAATTCATGTTCTTTCCATTGTACCTATTTCTTCTCACTAGTATTCCTCTCCCTCTAAATATAAGAAAAAATAACTCAAATAGACTAGCATACCATATGGTCCTCTTCAACAGGATGAGGAATATGATCATTATGAACATGTAAGAGGAACCCATTCAAACACAAGAATGTTTTGAGTAAATTATCACAGTAGTTTATAGCCTAAGATCCCTAGAGGTATAGCCTAGTAGAGTACAGAAATTCTACTAGACAAGTAGTCAAAAGACACTATCCTGTTACCTTAGACAAGTTAACCAACAAATATAGGAAATACAACTAAAAGCTGGATATTAATTCTTATTTCAGATAAGTATGTTTTACATAGTTGAAAGTATTAAATCATTCCATATTTATTTCCTGTTTGAAGTATTTATCTTATGTTACATTATTGTCTGAAAGGAAATATTAGTTCTCTAATTCCATATTTTTTTTAAAAAGTTTACATACCATAGTGCAATTTGACAATAAATGGATGATTTACTTCCACCAGTATATCCCTCTCCATCTTTGTCCGAATTCTGTCTCGAACTAAAAATTACAGAAGGGTAGAGTATATTGTTCTTGTATATAATTTCAGTAGAGATCCTATCAATAATTCACCAAACACAAATATAGAAATTTATAATATAACTTTGTAAGTGCCTGAATTTGAAGTCAATATTCCTAGGCAATAATTACCATAGTATAAAAGCTAACAAATTCAGTTTAGATCTAGAGATGGGTTAAGTGCCACAGTGTTATTTGGCGGATAAGCATTATACATTAGTGTTCAAATGAGTTCGCTGACTAAAACTGAGCACACTGTTATTGTTATCACAGCCCGGAAGACAGTGTATATAAGTGTGTGCAGGTGGCTGTGCCTTCTCAATATGTAATACCAACAGATGGAACAGAAAAAATAAGAATCTTGAAGAAAAAGAATATAGTTTAATAAAATAAGTTCACTTTAAATTAAACAAAATATATCACTTTTTATCCCATTAATTCTTTTTTCATCAGGATACACTCTCAGTAAATTAGGGTATATGTCAATATCAAACCTAGAAATATCACTTACCACTAGAAAGCTATAACAATTACTAATGCTAAAAGGAAACTAAATCTACTCTTATAGGCAATACATAGCACATTTCTTAAAACAAGTTTTACCAAGTTCTATTTTAATAAGCTTTCTGATCTTCTACCTTTTAAAGAAGCTTTTTTTAACACCTTCATTGCATAGAGTTGTCCAGCATCAGGACCGGTCTTCTTTCTAACGAGAAATACCTAATAGGAGAATTAAAATTTAAAAAGTGAAATTCACATCCCAAGCCATTCTTGCTATACATATACATTAGCATATACAAATAGCCTTACATATTCTCTAATTGTATAAAGATATACTTTTCCCTATAAATTATACTTAGTTTACACTTTCTCACTTTCATTCACTTAGTAAATCACATGCTCATACATCCTACTGTGGAAAAGAAAATTTAAAAGAACATTTGAGAAGTTTGTGATATAAGAGATAAATAATATAATGAAAGACAATTTGAGCTAAGGGAGCTCCTTATAAGACACAAGCTCCTTTTTGTTTTCTTAATATGGAGCAAACAAATGTAATTACTGTTAATTTGACACCTTCATTTCTAGTTTCCTATTGTCCATTTTAGAAGTTACCAGGTATTTTATTTTCTAATAGGGCTTCCCTGGTGACTCAGACAGTAAAGAATCTGCCTGCGACGCAGGAGACCCAGGTCCACACCTGGCTCATGAAGACAAGGAGGAAAATGCAACCCACTTCAGTATTCTTGCCTGGAGAATTCCATGGACAGAGGAGCCTGGAGGGCTACACCCCATGGGGTTGCAAAGCTCTTCCCAGTGCACCAGGTCGAGCACTTGTCTCATGCATCCAACCTGGGCTGGTGATCTGTTTCACCCTAGATAATATACATGCTTCAATTCTTATCTATCTGCCAAGTGAAAGAATCATGATGGCGAATATTTCAATAAAAAATGAAAGTTACCGAGTAAGCTTAAAGTAATAATTTCTCATATTTTCAAACCAAGAAATGATTCATTAAAAGGTAAGTTTCAAAAAGCCTCAATTATGAAAATGGATATGAGTATATTATAGTTTCATAACAGTTATTTACTATTAAAGGGTTTTAAATTAGTTTTAAATCAGTATTCACTGCCTCAACCTGCCATCCTCAACTCTAACAAGCTCTATTCAAATGCTGATAAATTTAAAATGTGATCAAATTAACTAATTTGTATACATAAAACTGCAGATTGAAGAGCTTCTAAGTAATTTTTGTCTTTTTCCTATGGTAGAGCTTGAAATTCTTTATTCCAAATATTGGATGTGATATTATATATCAGCCAACTGGGCAAGTTGGGGGGGGTTCATTTAATCATTACTTAATCTCTCCTTCTCCTATTCTTGTATCAGACCTAAATTCAAGGACCATTTCAGTTTTATCTGTTTTCACACTGTCTATTGTAGTGCTTCTCATACTTTGTGTGTAGACCAACCAGTCTTTTTCCCCCCCTTTCCTCCAAATCCACTGCATACCACTACTTACTATTTCATCAGTGAAAAACCATGGACTTATATGTATTTGTATAGCTGATTTCAGTCTATATAAGTTTTTTAAAAGCAGATTAAATTAACTGCCATAATAAACACACAAAATCTTCAAAGTTAAGCAAATGGCATTAACCCTAAGTACCAGACTTAGTTTTTATTCATTTTAATGACATGGACAAATAAACGTTGACAAACAGTTTCCTTTTTTTCTAATCAATATCAGATGATCAAGATATTGACAACAAAGGAGTCATTTCATGAGTGATGACTCCATTACAAGTAGGAGAACTATCTTTCTCAGTTTCTTCCAAGAAAGCATTTCTCAATTATTTTTGGTCTCAAGAATTCTTTTACAAACTTAAAAATTACTGATGACTTCAAAGTACTTTTGTTTTTGTGGGTTATAATTATTGATATTTACTGTATTAGAAATTACAGCAAAAAATTAACTATGTATTTATTGATTAATAATAAACCTATTACATGTGAATATAAATATTTTTTTATAAAAATGACTATTTTTTTCCTAAACAAATCAAAAAATATCACTGAGAAGACTGACACTGATTTACATTTCTACAAGTCCCTAATATCTGGCTTAACAGAAAATAGTTGGATTCTTGTATTTGCTTCTATATTCAATCTGTTGCAATTAAACTGCTTTGCTTAAATTATAAGAAGAAAAGCACGCTTCACACAGTTATGTATTTGGAAAAGGGAGAAGTATTTTAATAGCCTTTTCATATAATTGTGGTTATTCTTCTTTGATATGACACAAGAATTTGACAAGTAGAAGTTTCTTAAAGATTAGTTGCAGTGAAAAATCTGAGACCACATCAATTAACTGTCCATATTCTTTTACATAATAATCCACTGGTCTGTGGGACATGTTGAATGGGTTTTGCACTGATGGCTGATTTGATAACATCATGTGTTTGTCAACTCGAAAGTACTGGTTCACTGAGTTATGCAGATCTTCCAAATGTTGACAGTAGCAATCTCATCAGGAAAGTCTTTTGAGTACTGAGAACATGTTGAGCACAGTGGCAAATTAAAATTGGCCAAAAATCTACTTTTTTGCTTTGAAGTTCAAATTTTATCACTGGCTAAAATACTGTTGTTCTCCATGAAATAACAGGTTACTCTATTCATTTTTGAGGAAAACATCTACCAAATGCCCAAGTTTAAGTTATCGTAGTTTGTCAATCATTCTTTCACGGAAAAATGACATTTCATGAAAAAAGTGTCTAGTGTAGCTCACAGTTCAAAAAACTTCACAAGTATTCTGTCTTGAGACAATCATATTTTTTGGTGTGCAGGTACTTTGGGTACTTCTCATATCATCCCACAATATTAAAAAGAAGCATATCAAGGATTGATATTTGATAAATCTAATCATTGTTAACACCTCATCAAGGACATTCTTAAGTAAAACTTGTATTTTTCTAACTATGTGTGGCAGTGAAGGTCATAATGATTACTGATAGCTTAAAATCACTTCCTGGATTGTGCTAAAGTGCCAAAAAATTTACAAATAATATCTAAGCATTATTATAACACAGTCTTGTTCTTAAGGACTCCCTAAAAGTGTCTTGTGGATATCCAAGGGTAGTAAGATCACACTTTGAGAACTACTGTTCTAGAACACAGCCTTTTGTGGGGCTGAAAAGAATGGAATACAGAGAGTAAAAAGAGGCAATTAAGAAAGAAAGAAAACAATAGCCCAGGTTTTCTGAAAAGACACACAAAGCAGCCACTGCTCCCCTATCTCTTAAAACACTCACTAATATCTCAATATGGCATCTAATAGAAGCCATCATTCACAGGCTAGGGAAGTAATTGTTTACTTTTTCATTACCTGATTTGTTCTTTTCAAGTCTAATGAATGAACTTTCCTAACATAAGAAAACATCATCTCACTCTACTTTCTTCCCATGATCAACTACAGAAGCTGCATGATTTCAAATTACTGTTATCGAAAAACATAGCTCTCCTGATGAGAGGTTTCTTTACAGCCAACCTAATCCAATTCTCAGAAATTGTTCAAAAGAGAAATGAATGAGTGAACTACTCCAACATACTTTCTGTCATATGGACTTCATTAAGAAGTATTTGCTGGCTGAAGTGAAGTGGAAAAACTGCACAGTTTTAACACTAATTGGAAACAAAGGACCAACTGAAAGAAATTTTAAGTTGTAAACACATATACTTAATCAATTACTTAAGAGGGCAAGGGTTTGGTATTTTCAAAAATTCATTTTAAAGTCCTAAAATTAAAGGTTTTACTATCACAAAAGCAAACAAAAAAAAAGGAATATTAAAATGCATGCTTTATGTAAATATGATTTGACATGTGAAATATATGAAAGGCTAATCTGACAATGCCAAAGATGTTTTTATGTGTTTTATTTTATTGTGTTTTACTCCATGGCAGATTCATGTCAATGTATGACAAAACCCACTGCAATGTTGTAAAGTAATTAGCCTCCAACTAATAAAAATAAATGAAAAAAAATAAGTAAGTTATTTAGTATACTTTATTTCAATTCACACATTACTTAATGTGCTTATTACAGAATTTTATATGCATCTTTTGGTGGCTCAGTGGTAAAGAATCTGCCTGCCAAAGCAGGAGACATAGGTTTAATCCTGAGGTTGGGAAGATCCCTGGAGAAGGAAATGACTACTCACACCAGTACTCTTGCCTGGGAAATCCCATGGACACAGGAGCCTGCTGGGCTATAGCCCATGGGGTCACAAAAGAATCAGGCATGACTTAGCAACTAAACAACAACAACAATATAAGTTGTTTGGTATACTTCATTTCAATCCACACATTACTCGATGTGCTTACTACAGAATTTTATATGCATCTTTTATGATAATACATGCATCTTTAAAATACAATTTTACAACTGATTTTCATAGTATTTTTCCTTATTAAATAGATTGTATAGATATTCATGTCACAAAGTTTATATATGCTAAAATACATTTATTGCATTTTAACAATGGAACTTTCATAGAAAAATTTATAAATAAGACTACAGCTCAAAGTTTCTTGGAATTGCTCCGACACTTATCTGATTCACAGCCTTGGCCAAATTCCTGACTAGGTTTGGCATATAACAAGTCCCAACCACACAATGCCTACGCAAATGATGTAATACTGACAAGCAAGTGTTTTCACATCCTAGGAAGAAAAAAATAAGCTACTTCCTTAATATTTCTTTGGTTGATGACCTGCAAAAGGATCACTATCCTGTATTTTAGTATTAGGAATTTTTTTAAAGGGCTTCTAAGATATCCTTGTTAAATCAAAGTTCCTGCACAAAGTTGAACGAAAATTCCTGAATTTCTTAAGGACTACATTGACAACTTGTCAGCATGTTTCTGTATTTAGTGTGAAGATGTTATTGAAGACATTCATTATGTTATACTGTATTTTCTTTATAAAGCTCCATAAGAAAAATTTCTCTGGTCTGTTTGATATACTTCTTAAAGATTCTGTTAATAATCATACAATTAAATGTATCAGCCTCTTTACAATGCAGCCAGAAATTTTGAGGCCTTTACACCATGCATTTGTGAACAACAGAGTTTATTCCTGGCTTCAACTCATCTTTCCTGTTCTAATTTTTCTGCTTCCATCATCATCCCCACTTATTTTTAATTTTATTTTCTTTAGTATTCATTTATGAAAGCCTTAAATCCTTTCTGGAACAAATCTGGATATAATACACATATGGATAAGTGTATAAGACAGATTAAGACAGATACTTTTAATGGCTTGAAATATTTGCCTGGTGAGATTTTATTTAAGTCAATATGCAAGCATTTATATATTGGGGATATAAAAGAAATTCATCTCTGTTCTTCTAAAATTAATGTCATAAAAATAGTATGTAAAATATTTTTTTAAAAATACTGTACTTTTAGTAACTTCAAAAACTAAAGGTGTTCAGGATGCACATGCCTCCTCTACAGGTCAGTTCTATAAATACACCCCACACACACACACACAGATACACACATCTATTAAAAGCTCCTTCTAGTTTTACTCTCCCCAGCGTAAATATTCAAGCCTATCTCTTGTCATCATATACCTCTTGTACCAATTCACTGCCAAACAATGATCCACCCCAGTCTGTCCTTTTTGTGTCCTGAAAATATTTCTCTATATTTTACATGTTGCATTTTATACCACACAGATATCAGATTACTTTAAGACAATTAACGTCTACTTTATATTCATCAATGTTACTTTAAAAGTGGTATACACAAACCCAGTGTTCAATAAATGTCTTTTTTAAAAATATTTCAGAGCATAATAAATAAGCAATGCTCAACTGCCTTACTTTCCCCTTTGAAACTAAATCTCAGCCACCCTAAAATTAGAAATTAGCAGTTTTCTCATTATCTTCCTTCCCTTAAATTGCTGTTGTTGCTGTTTCCTAAATGCTGTTACTTAATACCTATATGTAATATTTTTCGTATCTTAGATGTTAGGTATACAAAACTCACGAACCAGACCTATAAACTTCTTTCCTAATAATCATGTACTAGTAAGCACTGAATAACCAATTTTAATAATGAGTGTCAAGAGTTCATCCTCATCAATTTTGCTTTTCCCCTTGAAATTAAAACCCTTTGAAGGTAGGAGTTTTATATAATCCCTATATTACCCAGAACTTACCATAGCTGTACATTCACATATTTTTTATAACAGATGATAGATTAATAATTTATGCATTCATACATGAATTGATACATGCATTCTGACTTCTGTGATAGAGCTAAGGGAAAAAAAAATCACCAAGAGAGAGCTGAGATCATGACAGCATGTGAACAGAGAAAGAAGATCTCTTTTACAAAACTCAAACTTTCTTGATTTAGGTAGCAAATAAATAGCATGTTATATACTGTCCTGGAGAAATCAGTGATCCCAGGAGATTAGAAAACATTGATTATTACAGAGAAGTATAAAGAAATGGGATTTTAAAAAAGACAGAAAAGGAGTGAAATTAGACCTTCCTTTGTGTGTATCATTTGATAATTTAGAAACGGCACATTTACCAGATTTCTACCTACGTGTTCAATTTTTTGCTAAATGTTTAAAAGAAAAACAAATGAGGGGAAAAAGCATTTGTTACCTTTCCAAAGGATCCCTGACCAAGAACTTTGAGCAACTCAAATTGTGCAGGATCTGCTTTCTCATATCCTTCCTTAACATGATGAGTAATAGGGATTTCTTTAACAACTCCTTCATCCTGTAAAAAGAAATCCAAGCAATACTCAAATATAGTTACAACATCTTATGATTAGCTCCATTTAGAATCAGAAATCACAACAGAAATAATTTAATGCCTAACTCCTTCAATCTAGCACAGAGTTGAATGGGCTACTAGCATCCCGATTTCCTGGGTTTTATAACACAGAGATAATACCAACAACCTCTATAATTTCATGTAAACAGAAGCATACAAAATATGTGCTTCAGCTTCTGTTCCAACTAATTAGAGACAGAAAAAGAAAAAAATCAACAACTGAAAGAGTCGCCTTTTAAGACCTTCACAAGTACATGCAGAGAAAGTAAAAAACCTTGTAAATTGTGACATGACAAAAACTGTGAACCTCAAGAGTTCTTTCATTATACCATTCTAAATAGTCAGTGATATACAAATATTTAAATGTCCAGCTATTCATATCATTTTAAAAGAAACTGGCATGGATAAACAAAGTCCAAAAAGCCCAAACATGTTTCCAGGCCATACGCCTACTTTTATTGAAATTTTACATACACTGATAAATTATATGCCAGATTTTCTACCAACTGGGTCAGGCAGAAGGCAAGCCATCCTGGAACTGTTTCTACCCCTTGATATAGACTCTATATAAAGACTACAATCAGGTGAACTGTAATTCTAGCCCCTAGCACAGTAGTGAGGATAAAAAACAATCAAATTTTCAGATGTATTACGTATCACAAAATAACAAGAGCTGGGATATAATATCCAAACTTCTGACTGTATAGAGGAGAAAACTGAGACCCACAGAGTTTAAGTTCACATGACTAGTTAATCACGATGTCTAGAAGTCGTGGTAGCTTTCCATTATATCATATTAATTCTGGTCTGGATGGCAAAAATGTTCTCAATTAATTCACCTTTTAATTAACTCATTAACCAATGGTGAATGTGGCCAAAGTGGACAAGAGTATGGTCCCAAGTAAGTTAGGCTTCATGGTAGCTAAAATAACTACCATGTTATATAATCCAGCAGAGTAATTTTAGCTTTAGCTATTAGGACTCATTTGTCAGTCAGAAATGAAGTATCAGTTCTGAAAAATATGCCCCTGGATGTTCCTTTATTTTTAATATTTAGTTTTAATTGATTGATGATTACTTTACAATATTGGTTTGATTTCTGTCATACATCACCATGAATTAATCATAGGTGTACATATGTCCCCTCCCTCTTGAATCTCCCTCCCACTTCCCACCCATTCCCATCCCTCTAGGTTATTACAGAGCCTCAGTTTGAGTCCCCTGAATCATACTGCAAATTCCCATTGGTTATCTATTTACATATGTTAGTGTATATGCATCCATGCTACTCTCCCCATTCACCTCACCCTCTCCCTCTTCTCCCTGATCCTTGTCCATAAGTCTGTTCTCTAGGTCTGGATCTCCACTGCTGCTCTGTGAACAGATATGTCAGTACCATCTTTCCAAATTCCATATATATGTGTTAATACACGGTATTAGCTTTTCTCTTTCTGACTTAATTTACTCTGTATAATAGGCACTAGGTCCATCTATCTCATTAGAACTGACTCAAATGCATTCCTTTCATGGCTGAGTAGTATTCCATTGTATATATGTACCACAGCTTCTTTATCCATTCCTCTGTCAATGGACTTCTAGGTTCCTTCCATGCCCTGGCTATTGTAAATACTGCTGCAATGAACACTGGGGTACATCTGTCTTTTCCACTTTTGGTTTCTTCAGGGTATATGCCTAGAAGTGGTATTGCTGGGTCATATGATGGTTTTATTCCTAGTTTTTAAGGAATCTCCATACTGTCTTCCATAGTTGCTGTATCAATTTACATTCCCACCAGCAGTATAGGAGGGTTCCCTTTTCTCCACATCCTCTCCAATACTTGCTGTTTGTGGATTTTTTTTTTTATTATGGCCATTCTGTGTGGTATGAGGTGATATCTCATTGTAGTTTTGATTTGCATTTCTCTAATGAGTGATGTTGAGCCTCTCTTCATGTATTTATTAGCCATTTGTATGTCTTCTTTGGAGAAATGTCTAGTTAGGTCTTTTGCCCACTTTGATTGGGTTGCTTGTTTTTCTGGTATTTACCATTACAACTAAAAGAATAAAATACCTAGGAATAAACCTACCTAAGGAGATGGAAGAACTATTTACAGAAAACTATAAGACACTAAGGAAAGAAATCAAAGATGATATAAACAGATGGAGGGATATTCCACACTCCTAGGTTGGAAGAATCAATATGGTGAAAATGACTATACCACCAAAAGCAATGTACAGATTAAATGCAATCTCTATTAGATTACCAATGGCATTTTTCACAGAACTAGAACAAAAAAATTCACATTCATATGGAATCATAAAAGACCCCAAATAGCCAAAGAAATTTTGAGAAAGAAGAATGGAACTGGAGGAATCTGATTTCACACTATACCACAAAGCTACAGTCATAAAGACAATATGGTACTGGCACAAAACCAGAAGTACAGACCAATGGAACATGATAGAAAGCCCAGAGATCACCTCACACACATATGGGCACCTTATCTTTGACAAAGGAGGCAAGAATATACAATGGGAAAAAGACAGTTTCTTCAATAAGTGGTGCCAGAGGAACTGGACAACTATATGCAAAAAAATTAAGTTAGAATACTTCCTAATACCATACACAAATATTAACTCGAAATGGATTAAAGACCTAAATGTAAGACCAGAAACTACAAAACTCTTATAAGAAAACAGGCAGAACACAGTATGCCATAAATCATAGCAAGATCCCTTATGACCCACCTCCTAGAATAATGGAAACAAAAACAAAGACAAATAAGTGAGATCTAATTAAACTTAAAAGCTTTTGCACAGCAAAGGAAACTGTAAACAAAGTGAAAACACAACCCTCAGAATGGGAGAATATAATAGCAAATGAAACAACTGACAAAGGATTAATTTCCAAAATATACAAGCAGCTTGTCCCTGGATGTTTCTTATAGAGCAAAAGAGTATTTCACTGGACTCTTTTAAATAGCTATGAGAGTGAGTTTCCTCTCTGAAAAGGGGTCTTTTTTGTAAAAATGTGAAGGACTTTTTTAATGCAAATACATATGTTTTGTAACTGGCATTTTGGAATTACATTAAAGTATGGCATATCTTTATGCATCTTTGCAATATATGTATCCCAAAAGCAACATCAAATTGCATACTCATTAATACTATAACTAGCTGATTTTATACCACATATTATGAATGCAGTAAAAGTCTTCAAAGTATGGACTGTAACAAAAACATAACTTATTGGGAGTTTTCTCCAGTGGAAAGAACACTGGTGGAAAAGTCACAGACTAAGTTTTGCTTCTAGCTCTGTCATTCATAAGCTAAGAAGCCATGGCCAAATCACAAACCACTCTACCTCAGTGTTCCCATATAACAAAAATTACATTAGATTGTTCTTTACGGTCCTCTCCAAGTCTGTGATATTATATTGAAAACAATACAGCATTTTTACGTTTAACAAGGCACTCCAGGTTCTGCCACATTTACAATCATCATTAAAACATGGGTCATAACATCATTTTTTTTAAATGTTCAGAGCTAAGTAACAGCTATACTCCATCCTACTTAGTTTCACCAAAACTAAGCAAATCTTAGAACGGAAATGTCTGTCTAATGCCTCTTCTAATTAAAATCCATATACGTCCATCATTTAAAAATGCAATATGTCCTTCAATTTTTAGCAGTATTACACAATAAAATTTCTGACATGAAAATGCTCTAGATTAGAAAAGACTTTTCCCAATAGACAGCCACCATATAATACTGTCACATTGAGTCCTAACAGCTTACCTTTTCTTTCCCACTAGACAGTGAGCTTCCTGTATCCAGGTAATATCACATTCAACTCTGCATTCCTAATGCTTAGCACAATAATTGTTTGACCTTGTGGGAGTGGACAGCCCAAAACAATCCAACCAATTTCATAAAATGGGAATGAAAAAAAAAAACTTATTTTTAAGAAGAAAGATTTGTAAAGGTAAAATCAGTAAGAATCTTCAAAATTATCTTTACTTACCTTTAAAAAACAGAAAAATATGTATGAATAATTTATTTTTTAAAATACATAAAGGGAATGGGGAAATAGCAGATTCATTCAGAATAATGGAATTATGTCAAATTTGAATAGAACTGACTTTGTGATAACAATATATCAAAATTTAATAATATAAGCATTTTTTCCTTAGAGTGTGAGGGATATAAATAATTTTCCATATTATTCATGATCAGTATTTTTTTTTTTTTTTTGGCCATGTCATGTGGCATGTGGGATCTTAGTTCTTCAACCAGGCATTGAACTCGTGTCCCCTGCACTGGAAGCATGGAGTCTTAACCACTGGACCATCAGGGAATTTCCCATGATTCAATTTTTATTATACTGTGCTATACTCAACATAAATAAAGGGCATAATGATCCCAGAATCTGTACTTTTAAAAATTGCTGATATTAACTTACTGACTGGCCATCTACCTTTTATAGATATATGTTCCCAGACAAATAGCTGTATGTATTACATTACTAAATTATGGCTAGTTTGTCTTTTAGACAGTAATTTACAAATTTTCTAGTTTTAAAAAATTACTTTCAGAATATTTATTCAATACACAAATTTGGGTCCCACCTCCAGAGATTATGGTTCATCAGAACTAGAAAGGGAACTCAGGCACATGCATTTTTTAAGGCACTCCCCTGGAGGATGAAATGACCACCACTCCAGTAATCTTCCCTGGAGAATCCAATGGACAGAGGAGCCCAGCAGGCTATAGTCTATGGGGTTGCAAAGAGTTGGACACAACTGAGCAATTGAACACCAAGATATATATATAGTTAAACAACATGTGCACACAAATATACACACACACAATTGGCTAGTTATTACAAAATTATTTCAGTATTTGTATGCAACTAGCTCTTTTGCAGAGAAGGCAATGGCACCC